ATTAAAAAATTATTACCTTTATATTTAGAGTCCATATTATCCGCAATTCTTGCATTGAAATCGCCCAAAATTATGGAATAAGGAGTCATATTTTGCCAGATCTCCATTTGTTTAGTTATTTCATTCAAAGTTATTATGTCATCAGGTGAAATATACGTAAGCATTAAAGTTATTAAATTATTCATAATATTAGCAAGAGCAGATTTAATGATTTGAACAAGGAGCAGAATGAAATTAATATATTTTTTTTGTTTGCCAATGAAATGAATACAACTTTTTGAATTAGCCAATGAAATTAATTATGTCATCAGGTGAAATATACGTAAGCATTAAAGTTATTAAATTATTCGTAATATTAGCAAGAGCAGATTTAATGATTTGAAGAAGGAGCAGAATGAAATTAATATATTTTTTTTGTTTGTAAAATTTTGCAAAGACCTTTTTTTTTTTTAATATGCAAAGTCCTCCACTTGGGAGGCCTGGGCCTATTGGTTTTTTTGCCAAAGCTGACTCTATTGTAAATTTTTCAAAGAAGGTAGAATTGTAGACTATTTCAGAATATATCCAGGTTTCAGTGATGGCAATAATATTCGGATCATGTTTAGAAATAAAGGCATCTATTTGTAGTATTTTATATTTAAGTCCTTGACTAATCCGGTTTATGATTGAGAGGCATTGATTATTAGGGTAGAGTTTGCAGGTTTGAGTTTTATCTTGCTTATTAATATGTCATTTAGTTAAGTTTGCTATTCTTGTTGATGGAAGAAAAGTATGCACCAATTTTTCCATGTTTAAATTATAAGTTAGCTTTTCACGATCAATTACTAAGATGTCATTTCGCAATTTTACCTGAGGATTTTGTTTACGTAATTCATAAAAATTTGGTAGTAAATGTTTCCTTCTATTTCTTGAGTTGTTAGTTAAATCCAGAGAAATCTGTATGTTTTGCCATTCCTCTAGTAGACTTTGTTGTTTTTTTTTGTATGAAGGTAGAAAAAATAAGATCTCTAGTTTGATTATTATTAAATGTTATTCTTGTTGTTAAATTTAGTGTTTTCGATAGTTGGACTATCTCTAGTATATTGTCTTGAGTTATATTATTTATATTTAATACATTAGTAATAAATTTTAGTATTTCTGCTCTTGAAGTGGTTTTGTAGTTTGGATAATTGTACGTTATTATGTTGTTATAGCGATGTTCGTTTATTAACATGTACAGTACATTTTAAATTGGATGAAATCTTTGTCTGTTTGTAATTTCTCTACTTGATGTTTCAAACCATCAATCTCCTCTTTCATTTTTTTCTGATTTTGTTTTTCAAATATTTTCATGGATAATATGGTACAAAGGAAAACATGCCAACAGCCTCGACGGATGAACACGCCCCCCCATCTTTAATTATAATTATTAAAATACTTATTTTAATTATTTTATTATATTTATTAGTTCAATAAAATAATATGGATTTGTTTTAATTGTGTAATAATTTTTTACAGATAGCAAGTAAAAACTTATGAAGATATAGATTTAAAAAATTTAAATGTATAAAAGTTAAAACTAATCATCACTAAACAAATAGAGTAAGTATAATTTTTTTTAAAGTAAAAGTTACAGCTTCAGATAAAATTTTTATATTGATAATTCTATTTTAAAACAAATTGACAAATTGAATTAATTTTTAAAAAGTTCTTAAATTGACAAGACAGAAATCAGAATTTTTTTTTTTCTTATTTCTTAATAGATGTTAAATAATTTCATTGATGGTATTCAAATGCATTGTGCTTTATTTTTAGTGGTCTTTTGTTTTAAAATCTCCAATAATGGAGAAAAAAGTATGCTATATAATATCATATTCATCTATTTATTATTATTTTTAAAATTAATTTCTGGTACAAATATCTAAACAAGCATATTTTAAAATGATTTATTATTAAATCTGTGATAATTTTATGATTAAAAAAAATTAAAAAGGAGACATTTTGGGTTTCATATCCCAATCTTCTATCTATTATGAATTTTTATAAAGAAACATAATATTTTAATATGCATTATTAATCTCATTTATTGTGAAAATATACTTTCAATTAAAACATCCTCAAATTTAGTAATAGTATTTGAATTTTTGAAGTGCATTATTTAATTTCACTTAAAGAAATAATACTCCACATTTAACGTATTCAAAAGAACTAAATTTATTATTATATATTTTAGGNATGCCAGACGTGCAAAAAATAACAAAAAATTTAAATAATATAAAAGAAGAAATCTGATTGTTTAGTAAGTTTGACTTGTTCAAATGTAGTTTTATTTTTTATAATAGAAGTAGATTTAATATCGCGTTTGTTTATAAAATTTTACAGTGATATGGAAGGAGTGAGAGAAACAAAATCTTTTACAGATTTCACAGAAAAGTATTTGTAGCTTTCTGTTAACTAGATATCTAAAACATAGATTGTAGATTAAAAACAGGAAGACAGTGAAAGATAATGAATTTAGTATTATATTAGACATTTTATAGTGTTGATAAGAAAGTTAATTTGAAAATATACAGGCACAAAATACATTAAAATATTATATTAAAACAACTGTAGTCATGTATTTAAAAAACTTTATTTTAAATTAAAATATTAATTAAAAACTTTAAATATTATAAGCTGTTTATATTTTACATTCTAACTCAAATGAATAAAATAAATTTGGAATGTTTGAAGATATGAATATATTAATTTAATTTTTGACTCTATTGAAAATAATAAAATGCAAAAATTAATTCATTAGGTTTCCAATATTCAATAATGTAAACTTAATGATATTTCTATAAATTTAGCACTGTATTTAGCTTCAAGTTATATTTTAATGAAATCCATGTATAATAAAACCGAAAGTACTAAACATGTAAATTTAATACAGGTTTAAAATATTAAAAAAACATCAGTTACAGTATTCAGATTGAATAAATTGTAATTTATTTACTTAATATATAAGAATTTTTTATTATTTCTGCCCACTAATGGTTGAGTGGATAACACCACTGTACACTAGCAATTGAATGTAATTTCACACCTGATCACTAGTCTGGACATGTTGGAGTTTTTCATGTTTCTTCACATGTCTAACACCTAAATAGGGCAGCTGACTATAGAAATTTCTTGCAGGATATTGTGTGTTGTTGCCTTATCCATTAATTCAATCCAATCCAATTATTTCTTTTCAACTTTGTCAAAATACCAAATATTAATGAACACTGCAAAAACCTAACAAACCAGTGACAAAATTATAAATTAAGTACGAACCAGGGCTGTGGAGTTGGAGTCGTGTAGTTTTTATGTTTTAGCCGGAGTTGGAGTTGTCAAAAAATCCACTGACTCTGACTCCTTTTTACTTCCCAACTTGTTATGTATATATAACGGAAAAGTATTGGAATCGCATCAAATTTGACCCTCCAACTTTTTTTTTTTTTTTTTTATC